CCAGTAAAGCAAATCGACATCTGGTCAAAAGGAATCGTCCTTCGTCTTCTGGTGGAACCGACGTTCGAATCTCTTCACCAAACACTTTCACTTGAAATGGGATTAGATTAAACAATTATGAAACAAGAGATTTCTCGAAACCCAACTATTCTTCGCAAAATTGGAGAAACTAACCAAATCGGGAGAGGCCTCATTAAGATCGCGATGTTGGGCGTATAAAAAGCGAATAGGGTTGCAGCCGGACACCTTTTCTCTTGGTTTGGCGTATTTTTGCTCTATTTCGTAAAGTAGGAAATCTTGCTCTGACAACGTCTCTCACTGTGGTACAGACGAAGGCTTAGCAGAGTTTCATGGGGCTCGCAGGACGGTGAGTCGAGGACTTGTTCGCACGGTTCAGCAGTCTTCATTACGCACCAATCCTCATCACGAATTCCTTCCAACCAGTTTTCCCTTCGAAATGGAGAGTCAAGCCAGAATGGTAAAAAAGTGTCTGAAATTCCCCTAAACAGGCTAGGGGGTGTCATCTATTCGTCTTTGCTGTTGGCAATCACTCACTTGTTTCACAAAAATCACCGGCAAACCCAGCCTGGCAGACACAGTTCGAGCTAGAAGAGTTACGAATGCAGGTCCCGTTGTTCTGGCACATTACACCGGCGCACAAGTCTGTGGGAAAAGGGAAAAAGGGACAAGACGAAGCAACAGTTTGTCAAAGAGTCTACCGAAAAACACAAATCAGACCTACCTCTGGTCGGATGATTTTAATAGGATAAATCAAAAGTAAATATAGGATTTAATCGAAAGTATGAAGACCAAGCTCATGTGACATTTGGTATGATCGCGGCCTCCTTTAAAGATACAAGGTCGGAGAGGCCATCGATATGCTGACTTAAAGGAATCTGATAAAGAGTAGCAGACTTGAATAGATCAAACTGTGACAAGATCAGGGAACGACGAGATCAGCAAAAGAAAGCGGCAAGATTGGGGCAAGATTATGAACATGATGAAGAGAAATCGCAGGAGGTAGGAAGAGGGAACAATCAGAAGTGAAGAGAAGACGTCTACATTGAGCCCATTCAAAACCAGTAGCACAACCACATTTGGCGTCGGTACAAAAGAGACAAGGCCTTAGAAAGTCACGGACTTGAAGTATGGATGGAAGCAGGAGAGATGCAGTGCAGACAAGAGGCGATAGACATGCCTCGAGAAGTAAAGAATTAGCCACGAAGCTGACTCGGCAACGAGGACTCGACATAGTTTCCCAACCAGCTGTAAAATGCGGATCGTAGGTATGAAGACCAAGATGGTGTGGCCTTTTGTGTGGTCGCAGTCTCCTTTCGTTGTTATAAGAGGTTGTTTGAACTTGTTTTCGCAACATGGTCATATTGGTAGGAAGATTTATTGGAACGCACCTAGTCCGGGGTCCATTGTTTGCATAATCATTTTCAAAGTCGAACTGTGGACGTGGTACATTCCCAAACGTTTCGCCGGCATCGTCAGTGAGTATCGCGATTCTTAGCAACACACAAAAACTCGTCAAGGAGAGACTCACTGACGATGCCGACTACGATGCCGGCGAAACATATGGGAATGTACCACGTCCACGGTTCAACGATGGAAATCATAATGCAGACAATGGACCGCGGACTAGGCGCGCTCCAATAAGTCTTGGGAATATACAACGTCCACGGTTCTTCTTTGGAAATGATCATACAGACAATGGACACCGGACTACGTGCGTTCCAATAAGTCTTGGGAATGTACAACATCCAAGGTTCTTCTT